TCAAAAATGACCTATATAGAGCGTAATGAGGGCCCCAAAACCGGCCTAGCCACACAAGGATGAGGAGTTCTCACGGTGTTATAGAGGCTACACAGGTTGCACTATCCGCTGCGGGACGCACACGTTGCAGACAGGCAGCTCGTACTGTAGCTCGCTGTACGTAATGGCACCCACATTTGGACAGCTCGCCCGAATACCCCTTCCATGCACTTTTACCGTCACTTTCTCGTCCAACCCCTGATTTTACTACTTGCTTGAAGTTTTATTTTTCTATAAATACGTCGCTTTTATAGTCTTCTTCTCCGTTTTTACTCCAAATTACCTGATACCCCAAAATTATCGGTAACTGTACCTTTAGAAATGTGATAGACCCTAGATCAATCTACCGTCGAAGTAGTCGTTAGCAAATCTGATGGACAAGGGATTCAGATCTCTGGCGGGATGCTACCCAGTACCTATTTTTAGTGGGAGTAGTACTCATGAAGGGGCCTGAAGTCCCCTCTTCGGTTGTACAAGGCACATGAATGGTGCGCCAGAAAGTTCGAGCTCTTGAGGGCTGTCAGAAAAAAGGAGTTTTTGTTCAATACGTTCTGTACCCTGAGTAAGTGTGTGGTCTTTTGACGGGTTCTACTGTGAAGTAAGAAAAAACATGTTGTTCCAAGCGAGCTTCGAATCCAAAACATGAGAGCAGCTGACAACGGGCTTCCCAGCCACTCCCATCATACAAGTTGAAATGTTTAGGAAAGCTTGAACTGAGTAAGTACAATTGTGGTAAAACTACCACCCTGATACTAGGTAACACTCGTTTACTGTTATAGTGTGACTTTTGTTAGACACCGAGAAAAATGTAGCTACAATTTATGTCTCTTTAGCTGAATGTCTTCTTAATTGGCAAAAAAATAATTGAATTACTTAACACTCGTGACTCAGAGCAGTAAGTGGAAGTATAAAGGTTTTTTGAATTTTTGAAATTTCCTAGAATCCTCTTATACATTTTTCCTCTAAAGTGCTCACAGCAGACAGCGCTTACTCGCTGGAAGAAATGGGTTTTCAAAAATTCACGCAAGAGATGTAAGCCTAGCAATTCCTAGGGTTGTTTTGAAAGGCAAAGTCTACAGCTGTGCCTAAATTATATATGTAGTTATTTTTAGAAATTTTGAGTATGTTCAGTTTGTATCAGTAAAGTAATGGTAACCATCGGTAGCAGGTGACCATTAGTACCGATAGCACACGCCAAAAGTTTTAAAGTTACGCTCGAAGAGTTGATGGAGTTCTTGAGGTGCGCCATGTATTCAACATCTATTTGAAATGCTGAGGACAGAATTTAGCCTTTAAAGTGGGTGGGTAAACTGAGTAACGGGTCAACTA